TATATATATATATATATATATAAATTGAAAATTTAAAGATCCAAGATTTCAGATTTTAAAAGTGAAGTAGATATTTTAATATAGATCTCAGTATTAAAAATAGCGCATAGAAGAATTTAGTATATATAAGAAATATATATATATATATATATATAGGAAACAAGATACCGCCAAAATGCAGCTATTAGCCTAGATAATGGATAATATATATATATATATATATATATATATGTCAATAAAAATATATAATACCATACACTGCCAGTAGATTACTGTGTATTTTCTACTAATATGTAAATTGTTCTGTTATTTAGCATTAAGCACTGTTTTCTCTATGTGTATGTGAACACTTACACATACATGTATCTTTATTTATTGATTTGATTATATTCACGCACGCACGCACACAAACGCACATACATACATAGATGCATACATACATACATGCATACATATATATATATATATATATATATATATATATATGTGTGTGTGTGTGTGTGTGTGTGTGTGTGTGAAAAGTGTGTGCATATATATTTGTATGAGGATCGCTAAAGCGTGAAACCCAGGGTCACAAACTCACATCTATCCAACCAAATATATATATATATATATATATATATATATATATATATATATATATATATATATATATATATATAGTCCTGGTCCTTTTTTTGAACAGTAGTAGAAGTTTATTTCTTGTTTCCTGTTTAATGCTTGCTATTAATACTGTGAGAAAAACGAAATTAATAAAGGCAACAACAAGAACTATAATAATAATAATAATAATAATAATAATAATAATAATAATAATGGCAATCCCTGCTGACTGCAATATTCATAAATGCTGTCAAAATACAAGGATCTTGAAATAGAAATCTCGAAAATGTGGCATATGGGAACATCAACAATCCCTGTTGTAGTTGGAGCCCTAGGACTGGTTGGAAAAGATTGCAGTAGACTAATTGAAGGGATTCCTGGAAGTCCATGCCTCAAGGAGATACAAAAATTTGTTCTAAATTGGACAACCCACACTTTACGAGGGGCTTTATCTATGTAATTTTTTTTTATTTTTTTATCTTTTTTTTAATTTTATTTTTTTTATTTTTTTGTCAGTGGAAAGTGTCATGGTGCCATTTCTAACCTTAGGTCCCTGGGCGGGACCCGAACTGAAATGTGTAAACGCCAGAAATCAAAAAAAAATAATAATAATAATAATAATAATAATAATAATAATAATAATAATAATAATAATAATAAGTACTTTCACAGGAAGCAAACTGCATAAAACTGACATTATTTTAATATTTTTAAACAAAATGTTTTGGGTAAATTTTATACTATTTTATTTTGCTATTTTTTGTATTTTTTATCTTTACAAAAATAATCAGTGCAAAATGTCCTGAAACAATTCCGGACCTCAGTTCTTTAGTTGGATTCAGTTAGGTAATGATTATACCACGGAAATTAAAGGAAATGTTACTGAAAAATTGGGTTGACACTATATACTGATAATTTGATAATTATCCTGAAAAAAATGACCTTCTTGTATCGTGTTGCACGCTGTTATCACCCAATGAATATAAAACTAATCATGTCAGAGTGGGCGAATATCTACACTGGAAGATATGAAACTTTCCTGGGACGGAAAGTGTAAGGAACTGGTATGACCATCACCAAGAGCCAGTTACAGAGACAGGACCTGTAATAATTTTATGGGAAATTACAATACACACAGACTATGTCAAAACTAATCGCCCATACATCGTGATTAAAAACCACAAAACAGAATGTCCTTTCTTATTAACATGGCAATTCCAACAGCTTGTAATGTATCTTTGAAGAACTTCAAAAAACTATCAAAATAGAAGGCTCTAGTAAAGGAAATTTCAAAAGATTGTACTAACAAATACAGCACACACATTACGATGAGGTTTATCTATGTAAAATATATATGATCTGATGTAGGTTTATTTATTGATTCTGATAAGTGGAAAACGATGAAACTATTTCTGACCTATGGTCTCTGGTTGGCCCTTGAAGCGAATGTGTATACACAGAAACCAAAGGGATAATAATAATAATAATAATAATAATAATAATAATAAGAAGAAGAAGAAGAAGAAGAAGAAGAAATACAAGAAATTGTTCTCAGGAGGACAGCCCACATCTTACGAAGTCATTATGTTTATTTTTTTTGTTTTTTGTTGTTTTTGATGCTATTTCTAATCTTAGGTCTCTTGGCGGGACCTGGAAAGAAATGTGTACACACCAGAAATCAAAGGAAATAATAATAATAATAATAATAATAATAATAATAATAATAATCACAACAAAAACAGATGTGACCAACAGAAAACACATCAGTCGCTGAGCAGCATCGGCTGAAAGATGAGACATTAGGCCTGAAATTGCAGCTTTGGATAAAAGTCACGCACCCAGATCATATCTGTGTCACATAATCAAGGATGGAACTAACCGGAAATGCAGGATCTACGGAAAATATGATGATACTCTGGACCACATCATCTGTCTGGAACTGGCAAAAATATGAATGTACCTAAGAGACATAACAAGGTAGCAATAAATGTGCACTAGAAGATATACAAGAAGCATAAAATCGAAACCAACTGAGAGATGGTAAGACAACCAACCAGACACAGTTACCAGAAATAACGATGTAACTATCCCCTGGGACTGACCAATTCAAACTGACAGAGAAATAAAATCCAATATACCAGATATTGTAAAATACAAAAATTTCAGGAACTGTATGCTTATTGACATAGCAGTATTATCTGAGAGAAACAACTCCATAAAAATTATCGAGAAATTGTCCAAATACAAGGATCTGGTGATCGAGATTAACAGGATGTCGGGAATGAAGACTGAGACCAATAGTAAAAGGAGCTCAGGGCCTCGTGAGAAAAGCAATGGACAATTTTGCTAAAAGTTACCCAAGTAAAATCAACAGACAAGTTGCCCAGAAGATCGCCCTACAAGGAATATTCTAGGTCTACAGGATACAAAACAGAAAGCATAACAACAACAACAACAATAATAATAATAATAATAATAGAATATGCTGCTCGTATAAACTAAAAATGTTCCTTTTGTTGGAGCTTTGGGTCTGATAAAGAAAGGAAATCAAGAACAAATCAACGTAATCCCTCGTGAGCCATCTCTCCAGGAAACGCCAAAAATAGTTATTACTCGCAGTGCCCCTCTCCTTTCAAGTCTGTTTAGTTATCTTTGTCAATAGCTGTATTTTATTATTATGTAGAAACATAAAAAAGTCAAATCTTTCGCTTCCTTAACGTCATTGATAAGGGCCCAGCTTTTGTTTATAAAACAAATGCAGGTCGGAAGCAAATATTTTGAAATCATAATAATACCAGAAAATCAGTAGAATATAAAATGTCAAGCAAACACCACTTTTTGGCATTGGGTCTTTGGAAAAGACATCAAATAAAGAAAACTAAAGTTTGGATCAAATTCCTGGCAGCTTTCTAATATGTGAATTTCAAACGATGATACACATGGATACGTCTTATCTCTTGTAGAGATTTCTAGCCAAGCAATTACCAAAATTATATTTCCAGATTTACATGTCATCCACATGTATTTGCATCTCCAGATTAAAAAAAAAAAATTCTTTGTATCTTGAAATCCCTCAGTGAATCTTGGAGATATCTCCTAATACAGAAAGCAAATGCTAAACATAATAATAATAATAATAATAATAATAATAATAATAATAAAATCCAAGGAACTCAAGATGGTAATCGGTAGAATGTGACATTTAAAGACAACCTTACCAGCTGTTACTGGGTCTTTTGGAATGACATCAAAAGTTGCAAACAAAAGCGAATTTCAAATTCCTCGTAGTCCTAAAATATGTTGATTACGAAGAATAATGCTTGTGGTTACGTCTCAAAACTTGTTTAGATTTCTCTATACTTTTTCCACCATCATTAATAAAATTATTTTTTTCTAATTACGTGACACATCATGTGTTTGCAAATCCCGCGAAAAAATGTCATTTGTATCGTCCTGTTGAGACTTCACTTGAAACTCGTACTAAACAAATATCAATAATAATAATAATAATAATAATAATAATAATAATAATAATAATAATAATAAATATAATAAATTTTCAAGAACCTAAAAGAAAAAAAAAACTTGCCTGCTAATTGATATGCCTTTCCCAGGGGATTCTGGCATAGCAACCAAAGAATTTGAAAATTTGTGGAAGTATAAAGACCTGGGAATCGAAATAGAAAAAAATATATGAAAATTCAAGACAAGAATAGAACCAATCATAGTAGGTGAACTTGGAATAATAAAAAAAATAAAGGATACAACCACAGAATTAAAAAAAAATACCTGGAAATCTCAGCTTAAGATAAATACAAAAGATCGTTTTCATAAGAACAGCCCACACAAAGAAGTGCTTTGTTCATATAAGTCTAGTGGTTTTATGGGAGGTAGAAAAACAAATCATGAAATGTAGCCATAATAACACAACTCTATCTGCCTTAGGTCTTCCCGCAGATTTAGTAGGCATTGTGATCATAGTAGAAATCGAAATATTATAATAATAAAAATAAAAATAATGATAATTAGTATGAAGATGACAGACGTACTTTAATTTATCAGCGCATTTGAAATATTTCCGTAAAGTATAGAATAATGTTTTCAAAATTGGAAATCGAAGGAAAAAAAAAAAAGAAGAAAATCTCTGAATTTTATTGCTAAAAAGAATGTAATGCTGAGAAGAGTTCGGGATATTTGATAAGAATTGATGTCCTTTTGTTTATTGCATTTGATTGATTGCTTCGTTTTTTTAAGGTTTATCAACCATTTGATTGTTATTTAAATTTAGGCAATATTCTTAGATTGTAAAAATATTTTTTTAGATAATAATAGTTTTACCCATAGCTGCGGGAGACGAGGTGGATTGCTTCCTATTCCAAGGGGATTTCTTCGTAGCTGAATATGACGAACCCGACCAGAATTGGAAATGGGGAAGCCGATTTAAAATGTTATTCATTACAAAACATCGCTCATCTAATTTTACAGAATCTGATATTCTCAATTGGTCACCCATATAGGTACGGACCAGGACCAACTTTGCTTAACTTCGGTGATCGTACGAGAACCGGTGTTTCAATGGCTTTCATCCGCATTTGATCGTAATGAAGCTACTCCTTAATTTTGGATTAATATATTAACGAATAATAATAATAATAATAATAATAATAATAATAATAATAATAATAATAATAATAATAAAGCGGAAACTGAAGGTTTTATCCTTGCTGCGCAGGACCAATGCTTGCTAACTAGGAATTATCAAGCACATATACTAAAATATTGTGTCAGCCCAAAATGCACATTGTGTGATACATATCCAGAAACGATTGATCATCTTGTATCAGGTTGCACGGTGTTGGCACCCACTGAATATAAAACACGGCATGACATAGTGGGCCAATATCTGCACTGGAAAATCTGCAACTTCTACGGGAAGAAAACTGAAAGAAACTGGTATGAACACCAACCAGACCCGGTTACGGAGATAGGACCTGTTACAATTCTATGGGACTACACAATACACACTGACAGAACAATCAAGGCCAACCGGCCAGATATTGTTATTAAAGACCACAAACAAAAACGGTGCCTCCTTATTGATATGGCAGTCCCTGCTGACTGCAATGTATCTTTGAAGATATTCAAAAAGTTGTCAAAGTCCAAGGACCTTGAAATAGAAATCTCGAAAACGTGGCATATGGGAACATCAACAATCCCTGTTGTAGTTGGAGCCCTAGGACTGGTTGGAAAAAATTGCAGTAGACTAATTGAAGGGATTCCTGGAAGTCCATGCCTCATGGAGATACAAAAATTGTTCTGACAAGTACAGCCCACACCTTACGAAGGGCTTTATCAATGTAATTTTTTTTTTTTTTTGTCAGTGGAATGTGTCATGACGCCATTTCCAAATTTAGGTCACTGGGCGGGACCCGGAAAGAAATGTGTAAACGCCAGAAATCAAAGAAAATAAAAATAATAATAATAATATGATTCTGAAAAAGAAGAAAAATAGAAAAAAGCAGCTAGAATGCAAACCATCCAGGTGATAGAATTATTGAAAATATCAAGAATCACAAAGAGATTGATAAAATATTGAGAATTGCTGTCCGATCATCTTCAATTGCTATGGTTACCAGGCCCAGCTCTTAGGCTCCCAGCTATAGGCAAATAGTTTACGCCAAAACTGGGCTCAGAACACTATTAAAGTTTAAAAATAGATTTTTTATAGTAAAAATGCCAGCAATACATTTTTGAAAAAAGAAAAATATTACCATCAATATATAAGATTCTTGACAAAACCCCTCTTTACAAAAATACGTCAATGAAACCGAATTTCTTACAAGGAATACATATTCTATTCATACGAACCTATGCTAAATATCTTGCCAGCATTAAATAACCCATTGAGCTTGATATAACGAAAAACAAAATAAAACAAACCAAACCTGTCGTTTGTATCTTTTAATATTTTTTTTCGTTATCTATGGTAAACCTTGTTTCGTCATCCATTTACTCAATGTCGTTACGTAGGTTATGAACTGATTTCTTTTACCCCTCTTGCCTTCAATTTGACCTGTGGGTATCAAAATTTCCAAGCCCGCTTTCCTCATTATGTACCCAAGAAATTTCAACTGTCTCTTACTAATGTTAAATGCCAGTGTCCTTTTAGTTTCCCTTTTCTCTAAAACTTCCACGTTGCCTGTTTGGTGATTTTCAAAGCGTAGCTTTGATATAGCACAAGGCCGAATGTATGAAGCGCCCAGTGAGGATCAAACTCACTCGTCATTACTCGTTATAATGGTTCTAGAGAGATAAGCTTGTTAACCATTACACCATGTCGAGTTTCCCATTTCTTACGTGTATGTTCGGTCAATAGTATTTTCGGCATCATTCTATCAAACAGCATTTCTGTTGCTTCATTGCTCTTCTTCATCCTGTGAGGAGATTGTTCTGCATTCAATGCTCTATAAGCGGACTGATATTATGCAAAAGGTTCTGTATTCTTTTCTTTAATTCTAGAGAAATCTTTCTGTTTCTTAATATTTAGCTTAGATTTTGGAATTCATCTTTCGCTATCACAATGCGCCTAAGGACATCCTTATCGAACTTTCCGTCCTCTGTTAAAAAAATTCTCCAGATAGTATAAATTTTGTACTCGCTTGATTTTGGTATCTCCATTGAACAAAGCAGCAGAACTTATTATTTACACTGATATAAATTACTGACGAGATGTTGTCAATTCCTGGCAATGAGTGTTCAGAAAATAAAATTCCAAGCCGATAATGCCTGTAATCATCGAACTATTAAAGGTTTTTTTTTTCGAAGTTTGACATAACACTATGATTTATGTACCTGTTTGATACTTCCCTTCAGAATGTGAGCAATTTGGAATTTATGGAAATAAAAGTTTGTGTGTCCGTGTGCATTTTATGTGTGTGCGAGTCTATACAAGATAAACTACAAGGAAGCATTCAAAAACTTAGGTTATTCCTACGGACTTTTTCTTCTTTTTATGGTGTCTGTAGTAAAACAAACTTCTCAGCGTCTCTTGGGTTTGTTCGTTTTGTGTTTGGGTTCAGAATAAAATTATTGCAAGTAAGGATAAGAATGATTAAAATGGTCGAGCTCAAGTCAGCTTTGCGCTGTGTTAGAACGACCAAATCACTTCATGAATATAGTTGCAAGAGACATCCGATCAATGACTTTGGAAAGTGGAATAAGAAAAATTCCGTCCTTACCGAAATGGGGTCATAAAATCACGCAAATGATTAGAAACGTTACCCGGTTCCGTCATTAATTGCATCATAAGAAAATATATTTTTTATTATTTTATTGATTGGTTTTATTTCATTTTCCTACAAACGCTTTGTAATTGTTGTCTTTTTTACTATCCTGTGAACTCCTTATTATATCATTCATTTATAAAAGCTCGTTTGTTAGTTTATTCACTGATCCCCATTTTTTCCTTTTCCGTCAATAGGTCTTTTGAGTATGAACTTTTCCTAGTTTATTCATTGATTTATTCATTGTTATAACTTATCATCTCTTTATTTTTAATTTATAGTCGAAACATATTTTTGATTGTAAGTATAAGTCATTTTGTGAGTGAATTGGATATTAAAGATATTCTGAGAATAAACTACGATTTTTTCCTAAATATAAGTCCCACTATTTAAACCTTAGAAGGGGAGAGGACATGTATCATACTTTTCCCATTGATATTTGTACATAAGTGAATGTAACGGAAGCAACAGGGATTTGAAAACAGCTTTTCGATTTCTCTATCATTTACACCACCCGCACATCAACTTTCGAAGTCTTCTTTCCCCATTACGTTTCCTAGAACTTTCAATCGCCTCTTACCAAATCTAAGTCCATTTCAAGTCTGGTCAGTGATATGATTACGTTCTCTCTTCTAAGGACGCAATACTTTCGCGATATTTTCAAGGTTCAGAAGGTACAAATTTAATTTTTGTCAGTCCTGGGTATAACGAAAAACTACATCTAGCAGTAAGCCTCTGATCGGGAGATTGGATGTTTTGAGAAGCGTGGAACCACCTCTTAATTGCTATTGTTCCCAGGTCTACTCTGGCCAGTGCTGATAGCACCTGTTACTATCCCAGCAATGGGCAATTAGTAAATCCCAATTAAAAACAAAACATTACAAAAGTATAAAATTACTTTTTTATATTATAAAAAAAAAAATAGTCTACCAACGACCCGTTGGATCACTGACGGTTCAGGTTATAAAAATTGAAGTTGATTTCAACATACCATTGAAGGTTAATTTTATTACGATTCAGTTAAATATTTCAATTCGTTCGCGTCATCATTAGCCTGGTTTACAACTTTTTACTGATTATTTACAGCATTTAAAATGGCCAGCAATACATTTTATCTATAGATGATGGCATAATGACTTTTCAAAATATATTTAGTTGATGTCATAATACCTTTCAAAATATAGTTACTTGATTTCATAATTCCCTTCAAAATATATTTACTTGATGTCATAATACCTTTCAAAATATATTTAGTTGATGTCATACCTTTCAAAATATATTTAGTTGATGTCATAATATCTTTCAAAATATATTTAGTTGAAGCCATAAAATTGTGTGGCAAATATTTAGATTTCGCCAATAAATAACCGCTAGAGTTTGATATGTCGCTAAAGAAAACCAATCAACCGACATGAATAAACTTTTTCATGGCATTAATCTATATGATATCCTACAATTTCATAAGGATATTCCAAAATATAACTTTAACAAAACTATAACATAAAACAGACACCGCCTCTAGTAATTATGTCCAAACAAACATGTATACGCACAAAATCTGACTATCATTTGTATTATGCATTCTATTGTGAAAGTAGATTTTATGTTTCTTAAAGCCCCCACGAAACTTAAATTTCAGCATTAAATGACCCACTAAGAATTTGATATGCCGTTAAACAAACAATTCAAATCAAAAATATTTGTCAGTCTATTACTTCTCATATTGTAATCTTTAATTCAGGAAATTTACATTCTTATTTTGAAAACTATTTTATAATTTTCTTAAGTTTTTCACAGCAGGAAAATTTCTTTGGGATTTTTCAGACGATTTTCTGCTTACTTTTTTCCTGTATTTGTTAACATATTTTCTCATAAGCAATCATTTATAGTATGAAATGGTTGGCTAGTTCCTCTGAAATATAGTATTTATTGAGTAGAGTAGAGATCGCATTGTACTGGGTGCTTAGTACTTGTGCTAATTATTGCATATTCATTTTCAGTCTACCATATTTTCTATAATTGTCCGAATCAAAAATTTAAATAACAGACATTAGTCATATATTTCAAACTCGCATATGGAATTGCGTTTACAACGAAATCAAATTCAAGAATAGATATGTCGGATATTTGCTTATTAAGATGGCTGACAATACGTTTGTCAGACTAGAACTCCGTACATATTTCATTATTTCTTTGTTTCATTAACTTTTACATTTTTAGCTTCTCCTTAACATATATTTCATTCTTTCGTGTTTTGATTCTTTCACGTACTAGTTATAGGTAGCTGTGTACCTTATATGAAAGACTTGACCAAATAAGACTGCAATATAAGAAACGTTTGAGTAAAGGAACTGATTTTTAAACGGTTCACTTTGCTGGGTAACTGATTTTATCAAAATACAGATAAATATTTTATTTGTGTAGATAATTAAATGGTTCAGGGAAATAATCAGTCAATAAATTTACTAACTTAAGTTGATTCACTATTGTTCTCCTTTGATTTTTTACATTTCTTCATATATTTCCTTTTTTTTCATACATTGCTTTCTTTCTTTCTTTCTTTCTTTCTTTCTTTCTTTCTTTCTTTCTTACTCTAGCATCAAATAACGCATGTTCTCTTTTCTTTCTTTTCTTTACAACTATATCATATTGCCCTATCTTTGTCTTTGTGTGTTAGTTTATTTGTTTGATTCTTTATTTTTCTTTCTTTCTTTCTTTCTTTCTTTCTTTCTTTCTTTCTTTCTTTCTTTCTTTCATACTCCAGGATTAAATATCGCTTGTTCTCTCTTCGTTTTTTACAACTATATCATATTGCCCTCTCTTTAATTGTTTGTTTGTTTTTCTTTTTCTTTCTTTCTTTCTTTCTTTCTTTCTTTCTTTCTTTCTTTCTTTCTTTCTTTCTTTCTGTCAAAATCCAGGATCAATTATCGCTTGTTCTCTCTATCTTCTTTACTTATTGCCATCTCTTTGTTCGTTTCTTTCTTTTTTTTCTTTCTTTTTTTTTCTTTCTTTTTTTTTCTTTTTTTCTTTTTCGTTATCTAGATTGTATTTATATATTTTTTTCTCTCTTTCTTTTGTTCTTTTTGGTACTGTTATTTTTCATATCTTTTTCGTTAATTATATTTTCTTTACTTTCTATCTTTCTCTCGTTTTTCTTCTTTTGCTAACATTAGCGATCCTTCCTCCTTAAAATTCCCTCCCTTCCTTCTTTCCTTCTTTATTTCTTTACTTCTTTGTTCATTATTTAGATTATTTCTATAAAATCTCGTCTCTATTTATTTCGTTATTTTTATCTATTTTTTTCTCTAATTATTTCTTTAATTACATTTTCATTACTTCCTTCCTTCTTTTCTTTCTTATTTCTTTCCTTTTTCTTTTTCGTGTATTTATATTTTAACTATTCTTTTTTTTTCTCTCACTCATTATGTCTTTCTTTCTTCACTTGATCGTTATATAGATTACTTTTCCACCATATATTCTTTCTTCTTTTCTTTCTTTTCCCCTCCTACTATTTTTCTTACTTTTTTTCTTCTTTAATTATATTTTTCTTTCTTTTTTCTATTATTCTACATTTTTTTTATTTAAGTTATACTTTGTCTATTCTTCCTTTTATTTTTATTATAGCATTTTATTTTTTTGTAAATTTTACCTACTCATTCCTGATTCGTATATTTTTTTTCCTTAGTGGCAAAACCCAACCTTATTATTCCTGTCTTTCTTTCAACTTCTTTTTACCCATAATTCCCCGACCGCACTCGAAACTCCCTGACGAGTTCAGAAGCAACAAATGTATAAATTCCGACAACCAATTACCAGCAGAGATGAGTCACCCATCGCCTAGGAGAAATGACAGAGTTCCGATAACAGCTGACTATTCTGTGACAAGCCAGCAGGGGAGAGAACTGGGTGTAGGAGGAGAAGAATTGCTATCATTTTTGGGGTTCAAACATAAACTCGTGTTATTGGCCCTTTGGTTAAAGAACGTTGCCGGTGACATCAAGCCTTGGATTTCGAACACAAAGAGATACTTCCTCACGGCTATATAAAAAGAAAATTCTAAAGACGGATAATACTAGAACATCACTTTTCAAAATCTTCGGAAAGGAGTAGAAAGTAAACAAAGAAACAAGAAAGGGTATAGGAAAATAAATCCCAGAATTCCAGAGTGAAACGAAAAAATATATGCCTTATCAAACCATATAATAATTATCAATGTATATTTATTTATATCTTTCCTGTCCTATGTGTAGTGGGAAGTGAAGTAAATCGGAATAAGTTAGTAAATTTATTCGTGATTACTTCACATAACCGTTTTAATAATAGACACAAATATAAGATTTATCTGCATTGAGACAAAATTAGTTCCCCCAGCAAAATGAACCGTGTAATTAAACGGCCTAAACAATCTTACGTATCTTAGATTGCTGTTTTATTTGTTCAGGTTTTCATGTAGGGTACTTAGATACATTTCTTTATTAACGTGAATGTCTTGCATCAGCTTGATCTTGAAATAGGCTTTTCAGTGGCAGTCTACGGCGTTCTGCTGCTAATCTTTTTCTTGTGGGAGATAGTGCCATTTCACTCTTATATTAAGCACATAACATTTTTGTCTACATTTCTAGGATGAGGTATTGTAATTATTTACACTATTTACATTATTCGGAGTGTTGTCCCCATTTCGTTGCCATATGCACGATCTTTCGGCCGTTGCAAGCTACGGCTTTACTTTGGTGATTTGAATTTCGAGCTGAACCCTTCTTTCCGGTCACCGGGGTAGACCATTCTAGTTACTGCCTGCCTAGAGCAGAGTTGAATAAAAAAGTTGAGTTAAAGGGAGATAACTGATACCGAGATATCCGGAAAGATGCATGACACGTTTGAACTAGAACAGTCTTCCTCCAATGGACGAAATGTAGGGTTCACTTTGTAATTCCATTCACCTGATGAAAGCCGGAGCGTACAATGGCTGAAACCTCGTGAATATGGCAACGTGGATGAGGACAATAGTCCGAACAACGTAAACCTTGTAAATAATAATTTTTTTTTTACATGAAATGATATTGAGAAAAAAACGATTTATATCATACCAGGAGTAAGGAATGAATCGCAGATACCATTAAACTTTTAAAAATATAAAAGGAGCGAAATAATTGGTTCTTTGTCTCCTTATTTTTTAAAGCATTGCACCCCAAGCAAAGCCGGGGTGCCACTAGCACACATGGCGTTACAGAGAGTGAAAGTAAGAGTAAAGACGGGTGTTTGAGAAAAGGATAAAGAGAAGGACTGGAATCAATATGAAGTCATCAGAAGATGTCGATTGGCATTACATTTAAATTTTTGAATATTAGAGTTATCAGGGAAGCGAGTAAGCGGAAGAGAGTTCCACTGTCGGGAAGTGCCAAAGAAGAAGCTTTTGGAGTAGTAGAGGCGGTTACATTTAACTGTTTTGGCAGTAAAATGTGGGACAGAGATGACAACTTAGTAGCTCACTTATATTCATGCAGTTGAGGCACCAGTGAAAATAGCTCGTCATAGCAGATGCCATGAAAATATTTGTAGAAGAGTCAGAGGGAAGTCACATCAAGTCTCTGAGAAAGTTATTGGAGTTGAAATGCTAGGTCAGGACCAATCACATTGCATATCCGTCTTTGGATTTTGTTTAGAAAATTGAGATGAACAGCGGAGGCACCAAACCATATAAGGCAACAGTCTTCAATGCAAGGACAAATGGGAGATTTAAAGGATGAACTCAGACGAGGAAAACCTTCTGGCGCGATACAGAAAGCAACTCATTTTTTATAACCACTTTATTGAATATCAATACATTATTCAAGAGTTATTTGTCTTTCGTTGCATCTCCCTAATAATAATTTCTAACAATGAAAATGGCACGGGTATACTACTAGGGACATATACTATTAGTGTTTAATAAAATCTACGTTCCCAAGTAGGCATCTATGTGGACAACAGTACTATTTACTCCTGCCTCAAAAACAAATCTAGTGTCGCCGACAAATCTAACCTGGCCGTTAGTCAAGAAAAAGACCTTCAATCGATTGTGGACTGGGACAGGAATTGGCTGGTTAACTTTAATGCCTCAAAAACAATACTTCTCTATATTACTCTCCAGAGAGAATCATCCCTGCCTCTCATTAGAATGTCTGACGGTCAGCTCCACGTGAGCACCTCTTTGGGAATGCCCGGTCTCATACTGTCTGCTGACCTGAGATGAAACGAATACATTGAGTCAATAGCTTCGTCCACGGCAAGGAAAGTTGGCTTCCTGTTCCGCGCCAGGAAAGTTTTCTCGCCTGAGTCAATCCTTCAAATCTACAAATCAACCATTCGCCCTTGCATGGAGTATTGCTGCCATATATGGCCTGGGGCCCCTACTAATTGTCTCAAGGTCATTGATAAAATCCAAAGACGGATATGCAATGTAATTGGCCCTGATCTGTCATCTCATCTGCAGTCGCTCTCTCACAGACGTGCCGTTACCTCACTTTTACAAATACTTTCACGGTAACTGCTCCGATGAGCTGCTTTCGCTGGTTCCCAAACTTCATGAATTTAAGCGTTCAACTAGGTTGGCATCTCTCTCACACCCTTTCACTGTCGAAACTGTTAAATGTAGCCGTTTCTTCTACTCCAATAGCTTCATATGTCTCGCACTTCGCACCTGTGGAACTCCCTCCCCATTTCTTATTTTCCTGATAGCTATAATCTCGAGCTATTTAAATGTAATGTCAAGGTATATGGAGACATCGATTGACATTACATTTAAATAGTTAGAGATTCAATATACTTCTATTCATCCTTTCCTCTATTAATCCTCTTTGCTCTCGCTCCAACTCTCTGTAGCCCCTTGCGTGCGAGTGGCTTCCCGCTTTGCTTGGGGTGAAATGTTTTTAAAAAATCGATAATTTCCGTCTGTTTAAAGTTTGTTCTATATTGAATTCAAAATTAAATAGTGTAAACACACGCACAATAGCCATTAAATTAAAGTGGGCATAAAATATATTGTGTTGATATAAAATAATAAGTAAAAGAAATACCAGGGATTATTTCAGGGTTTTCGTATTTTAATTTTCTGGTGAATCTTAATTAAGTTAATGACTGGATATTATGGAATGATGATATCATTCTACAACAAACATTCGTTCTTAAAAAAAAAACAAAAAAATTAACAAAATATCGCAATAAGAATCCTAAATATGAATGTTGGTCACGGGGTACAAATAAAAACATTTGTAATTGATATATTTTTCCATTTCACTTAAACACATTAGTGTGTTATCGTTTCTTTTTCTTCCTTTCATCCTTTCACTTTAAAACTGAAATCAAGTAGCGACTCTGATATGTTTTCTGCCGTTCCACGCGTTCAGAACGAAATAATCCGTTATTTATGAAGTATGGACATGGCTTAACTTTCATTCTTTCTTTCATGTTCTTGCTAAAACCAAGTAGCGTCTCTAAAATGTCTTTTCAAATTTCCACGCGATAGAAAGAGACTAGTTCATTATTTATGAGGTGTTTAAGGAGTGTAACGTACGTACGTGTTAGCTAAGGACGGATTGGAGGAACAAGCAAAATAATAATAATAATAGTAATAACTCAGCATGATGGAGTGGACCAGTCTGCACTGGAAAATGTGCAACGTTTGCAGAAAAGGAAACTGCAAGAAATTGGTATGAACACCAACCAGACCCGTGTACAGAGATAAGACCGGTAACAATTTTATGAGACTTACAATACACACAGACAGAACATTCAACGCTAACCTCCAGAGATCGTAATCAAACACCACAATAACAGAACGTGCTTTCTTATTGACATGGCAGTAATTTATCTTTAAAGACCCTCAAAAAAAAAAATACAAAAAAAAAATCAATCAAAATACAGGGAACTTGGAATCAAAATCTCAAAAATGTGTTACAAGAGGACATCAATAAATCTAGATGTATTTGGAGTCCTCAGGTTGAATGGAAAACGTTCTGAAAGACTATTTGCATGGATTTCTGGTAGTTCATGCCTTAAAGATATACAAAAAATGTCTGTCTATGTTTCTGAGATGAGGTATTATGTAAATTATTTACATTATTCAGACTATTGTCCTCATCTTTGTCGCCATATTTATTACAACGTTTTGGCCGTTGTGCGCTCCGGCCTTCTTCAGGTGGTTGGAATGTCGAACTGAACCCTTTATTTCGCTCACTGGGTAGACTGTTCTAGTTGAACGTGCCATGTTTAATGGATGTCAGTTATCAGTTATCTCCTGTTAATTTCCCTCTGAAAGTTGAATTCGCACTCTTTTGGTCTTGTCACTGGATCTAACAAACGCCTTTATCCACTGTGCCATGTGTCCTTGAGGACATCTGTGCATGAATTTCTGGGTTTTATAAACCTAATGTTTTCAGCAACCATTTTTACCAGTACTCATATTGCAATTTTTGCTGTTATCCCCATGTTTTTACCAGCGCTCATATTGCATTTTTTGTTGTTATTATCGCTTTTCGCTGGCACTCCTTATTACTGGTTCCCATATTGTATTCATTTCTATGCTTGGTCGGCTCTGGGGATTTTTGTGGCATAACATATGTGCTGATTCCTTATGTTTACGAATTTTCCAATGTTGTTCCTTGTCTATGATCTCAACTTGATCCCACAGAGGGCGGTGATCTCCCTTCTCTCTCCATATGTGGTCAGCCATGCCTTATTTTTCCACTTCCCTTCGTGTTACACCTTTCTGGTGTTCTTGAAACCTTGCCTTAAGCGGGCGACCTCTCTCCCCTTTATATTTCTTTCCGCAGCTGCACGGGATAGCATACATGCAGTCTTTAGCCATGTTCTCCTCTCGGGAGACATATATGCGAAGTGTCGTCAAGCTTTTGAAGGTTGTCCTGGTGTTATATGGACTGCAGGTCATTTGTATTTTCTCTGATAACCCCTTCACATAAGGCAGGCAGACAGTTTTCTGAGTGTTGTTGTCA